CACTAGATCCTGGGCCAGAAAGAAACTGGGACATTTCAGGAGCCCAGGCTTGAGGAAATTCCCCTCAGAACCCAGAATTTTATTATGCTTCTATATGCACAGTTAAAACTGCACAATTAAACGATTGCATAATTTATCTTTTCCATCTTATTTAATATTACCTTTTAAACTTGTTTGTTTATGGCCTCACCCAGCAATGCGTAGGGCTTACTTCTGGCTCTGCACTCAGGAATTACTCCTGGCGGGGCTCAGGGGACCAAATGGAGTGCCAGAATCAAAACCAGGCCAGCCACATGCAAGGCCACATGCCCTCCCGGCTGTACTACCGCTCCGGCCCCAGCCTTTTTATTTTATTTATTTTATTTTGTTGGTTTTGTTTTGGGGAGTCACATGCAGTAGTACTCAAGACTTACTCTTGGCTCTGTGCTCAGGGATCACTGTGATGATGCTTGGGGTGTGTTGGTGAAACCAGGATCAGCCACATGCAAGGCTAGCTTTACCCTTCCTTGTCTCTGGCCCTCCACCCTTTCAAAGACATGATCTCTGATTCCAGTGGCATCTGCTGCATTTAGAACTCTTAAACAGCTCCCTGATAGTCTGCATAGGGGAAGAAATAAACATTCGCTGATGTCAGACCCAAGGTGACTTTTTGGTTTTTGCCACACACCTGCTGCAGGCCTCCTGGCTCCTTGGGAATCAATCCCGGAGAATCCGTCCTCCCACCCACTGGGCAGGCACCGGCTGTGGGACTCGCAGGGTCCTGCCAGGTGACCACCTAGGCTATGTCCTGCTCCCCGCGTGACATTTTCTCTGTGACTCCCTGTTCTGGGAGGGCCAGCAGAGACTCCCAGCCTTGGGCATATGTGGGAGATAGAGAGGCAAGAGCCAGGAGAGGGCAACAGTTCCGCTGAGAATACTGGCCGTAGGGAGCAGCCGTAAAGGTGCCACATGGCAAAGGAAGTGGGGCCCAGGACTTCCGTGGCACCAAGTCAAGGGATCTTGATGCGGGGGTCAGAGAGGAGCTTGGAGGGAGGGTCATAGCTGCCCCCAGGGGTGCCGGCTCAGAGCACTGGGGGTGAGTGGACCTTAGGGATTTTGCAGAGTTTGTGCACTTGTTCATTTTAGGGTGTGGGGGGCCTGCCCCCTAGAAGCGTTCTGGAGACACATGCCATATGGAGGGCCTGCCGGGGAGCAGAGGCAGGGCTGGGCTTCAGTCTCACCTGTTCTTGTTTTTGTTTTTCGGGTTCGGGACACACCCGGCGGTGTGCAGAGCTTGCTCTTGTCTCTGCACAGGGCTCACTCCTGGTGGTGCTGGGGGACCATATGTAGTGCCGAGGATTGAATCCAGGTAGGCTGTGTGCAAGGCACTCACCCTGCCCCTGTGCTATCGCTCCGGCCCTCATCCTCCACCTGTGATGGGAGGGAGACTTGTGAGCAGCCAGCAGGTCTCCCGCGCTTGGTGTCTGCTCCCAGTTGGGTCATCTGAGTCTTTCCAGCCCATTGTCCCCCCCCCCCACCCCCAAGAAGAATCAGCGCCCTTCTGGCGGGCTGCTAAGCTCGTTTTAAGATTTGTGAAGTGTTTCCTGAGAGCACCAACTGACCATTATTGATATGATCAACATGTTTGCTATGTTAAAATAATTAAGCTGATGTGTATGGGGGGGGTGTTGTTCATTGTTCTCTGCAGCGGAGGTTCTCAAACTTACAGGGTGTGCCCTCCCCTTTAAGGATAAAAACCACTCAGTGCCCCTGGAAATCTTACTCCTCCCAACTGAACCTGAGGCTATAACCACGCCCCACCCCCATCATTTTTCCAACCTGGTGAAGATCTGGGTAGGGAGAAGGTAGTGTCCACTCTGGGGGACATGGCTCTGTTGTATGTCCCCCCGCATGTGTTTGCTCCCATTTCTGCATTACGCAGCTGTCCGAGTGGTACTTGGTGAGGGTAGGGCAGGCAGAGTGAACAGGGTGTGTCATCCTGACATCCCTCCACAGCTGTGAGCATGGCGCAAAGTGCCCCCTTTCTCAGCCCTGAGATAAGGGCCTAGCTCTGCTCTCCTGAGATTCTTCCAGCCTCTGGAGCCCACGATGCTCAGTGTCTGGCTGAATATCCGGGGCTGGGGTCAGGGGTACAGTCGACGCAGCGGAGCACAAGCCTTGCTTGTACCTTGGCACCACAGAGCAAACTTGGGGGTCCCTGGGCACTGCCAGGATGACTCTCGTGTGTCACTTGGAGTGGCCCCCAGATGCCCTGAGCCTCACTGGGAGGCCACTATCAAAAGTTAAATCAGGCTCCAGCGATGACAAGGTGCATGCAGTTCATCACCATCAGGAGGGACCCCAGAGCAACGAACAGGCGTAAGCAAGCTCTGAGCACAGCTGGGCGTGGCCCTCAAGCCAAAATAATAAATAGGTAAAAAAAGGTAAAGGCCCTCCCGTTGATCGTCGATTTGCTCGAGCGGGCCCAGTAACGTCTCCACTGGAGACTTTGTTGTTACTGTGTCTGGCATATCGAATACTCTCGGTAGCTTGCCGGGCTCTCCGAGAGGGGTGGAGGAATCGAACTCGGGTCGGCCATGTTGGCCGCTTGTAAGGCGAACGCCCTACCGCTGTGCTATAAATACAGAAATAAAATGAAAAATCAGTTCTGCGTGTGCAAATCCTCCATGCAAACAGTTCCCAAAGCATTCAGGACAGGACAGTTTCCGTCTCCTTCGCTTTTCTTCCTGCAGCCTCGGGGACCCTGGGAGCAGTTACTGGTGAAAGGGACCCCAGAGAGTATGGTTCAGAGTGTGGCCTCTGAGGTCAGCCAGAACAGGCCAGTTCAAAGCTTGGTCACCCTGGGCAGGTCACTTTCTTCCAGTATCTTAAGTCTGCTCATCTGTGCAAGAGGGAACTGGAGGAACTACTGCAGAGGGGCCTGTGGGGTGGGGGGTGGGGGTTTGAATGGGGAAATGCAGGTGTAGCCATTAGCCAGGGCCTGACACTCAGCCTTCCCATCCCGGTGGGCATGCAGATCATTATTACGCTCTTTATTTTGTAGCCAGAAAAACACAAAACACTCTCCTGAGGCCAGGGGGAGGTAGTGCAAAGGGGTGGAGAGTTTGTATTGCATGTGGGAGCCCCAAGTTTAGTCCCTGGCACTGAACGGCACCCCAGCACTGCAACATGTAACCCAGTGACCCCTCGCATCGCTGGTGAGGCCACTTTATTAACGGAACAACAAAACCCAAGGCCCAGAACTGCTGTTCGACCTTAGATCTCGGGACTCCCCGAATCGAGCGCCACTGCAGTGGATGAAGCCCCGGGGTCGGAGAGGTGCGCTTTTGCTTTCAAGGCTTGGAAAGGAATCAGGGACCCCCCAACCCCTTCCCGGAGTCGATTACCTGGGATAACAGGAGTATCATTGTAGACTGGAAAACTCTGAAGTGCGCGAAAAGCAATGGGTTCTTTTTCAGTCAGTTCCCTGTGCTAAATGCGGTCCGAGGAGCTCGCCACGAGGATTTTGTCAGGTCTGGACAGATGTTAAAAACTCAGTTTCAGGGCACAGAGGCTGTGTGCACTGGAAAAGGCACAAGCAGTGTCAGTGAGGGGCCGGAGGGAGGGGAGAGGCAGGAGTGAGGGTGCTGGGTTCTGTCCCTAGCCCATGCCCCCACCCCCCCATCACTGGTTGCAACCAGAGTTCCTGAATACAACCAGGGCGGCCCTGGGAATCCCTCTCATCATATCTCAGGCTGTCGCATTGAACCTCCAGCTGGTTTGGCCCAGAATTTCTGGGGGTGGCCCTCGAGCCCCCTAAACACTGCATGCAAGTGAACCGTTTCCCCCTCCCCAAATAACAGGGCCAGTGACCGGGCTTGGATGGCCTTGTGGCAGCTGTGTTCAGGCCAAGAGGTCAGCATGGTATGGGGGTGGGGGTGAAGAGAGGGTCCTGCCGTGGGGTCTGGGAGGCCTCTGAGGGGGAGGGTGACGAGGTCTGACATCGCGGGCTCTGGCAGAGAGCAGATACTGTGGAGTATGGGGGTGGGGGGCAGGTGGGGGGAGGGAGGCGGATGATGGAGTCTGGGCTTTGCAGTCAGGATTTGTCAACAAACTATGGGGGTGTTTTATTTAAGTTTTCTTTTTGGTGGCATTGGGGTGGTGGTGGGGGTGGGGGTGTTGGGCCACACTCTACACTCATCGACCCCTCCTGGCAGGGCTCAGGGGACCATATGGGGTGCCAGGGACCGAACCCAGGTCAGCCGCATGCAAAGCAAACACCTTACCCGCTGCCCTGTGGCTCCGGCCTGGGTCTGAGGGACCAAGGTGGCACCGTGGACGGACAGATTCCACGTTTCTGTTCAGAACAGGGGTGAGGGTGGTGGGGGCACGGGTCTAGGGCGCCATCGAGATCTCGGTGTTTTTCTGGGCATCAGCAGCCCAGGTGGAAGCCCTGCAGGCAGCTGGACGGCCGAGTGTGGGGGAGGCCCGCAAGCCCTCCCGCCTGTTGCCTTCCTCCGGGCCAGTGGACAGGTGGCTGCAGGTGGCCCGTTACAGGTGCACCCGCCGCCCCGGAAGCTTCAGGGAGGGACCGAGCCTCCGAGGTGACCCCGACTTCCCGGCTCCACGTTTCCCACGTGCTCCGCGCCTCTCAAGGGCACCGGTGCCCGTGGAACCCGAGCCACGCCGGGCGCGCTGCTGCGGGGGGCGGCGCCCGCGCTCGCTCGGGGTGCGCGTGCAAACGTGCCGTGCGGACGGACGGGGGCGGCTGGGTGCTCGGTTCCCGGTGCTCCGGCGGGGGGGCGGACTCTCTCCGGGGCCGCAGACGCGGCGGGGGAAGGGGGCGAGCGGTGGGGGTGGGGGTGGGGTTCCGCCGCCCGGAGCTCGGCTCCCGCGGCGGCGCCGACGGGGTTAACTGGCTCGTGCACCGGGCGGCGGGCGGCAGTGGTGCATTGTGGTAACGCGGCGGCGCCGGGGCCCCCGCGAGCGCCCGCGCGCGCCGCCTCCGCCGGGCGGCCCGCCGAGCTGCGCGCGCGTCCGGGCGAGCCTCCCCGGGCCCGGCGCCATGTAGCGGCCCCGCGGCCCGGAGGCCGCCCCGCGGCGGGGATGAAGGGACGCGGCTGCTGGGAGACGGCCTCGGTGCGCTCCTTCTGCAGCTCGGGCTGCCTGAATAAATTTAAGAAGGGTTAGTGCTGCCCCGCCCGGCGCGATCCGGCCACGCGAGCGCCGATGTCAGCGCCACGCGCGCGGGGAGCCCCGGGAAACCCCCGTCCCCGCCGCGCTCGGGCGGGGCGGGCAGGCGGGCGGGCACCGGGGAGGGGGCTGCGGGAGAGGCGGGCCGGGCTCCGCCGGAAGGAAGGACCGGGCTCGGATGAAGGAAGAGCTTTCTGAAAGGACGCGGGGAGACTCGGTCCGGGTGGCATCAGCCCCCTGGCCAGGGTCCGCCCGCGGGGTGGCTGGCGCGGGGGCCCGCACGGTGTAGCTGGGCAGTGCATGGCCCGGTCCCCCGCCTCCTGTCCCTGCGGAGCGCCTGGCGGTCGCTGACACAGCAGAGTCGTTTTCAGGGACCCCCGGGTTTGAACAAGGGCCACCCCCTCCCCCCAGCCGTAGCCCTGCTAGAAAGACAGCCCAGGGCGGGTGTGCAGACGTGCAAGCTCTACCCCACGGTGTGTGTCAGCACTGCTGGGTGCCGGGTGGGGGAAGGACTTAAAACATTGGTTTGAAAAACTGGTTAAGCGCCTGCCAGAGCTCGCCCGAGCCTGCCTTTGGGAGATTCTGCACGAGGGAGATGTGCCATGTTGGCCTCAATCCGTGCTTCAGAGTTGGGAGCTCTGGGTAGAATATGGGGATTCCTTAGACCCAAAAGCCAGTTAATTTCACCTACCTGGAAGTTATTAGAAACAGTTCCTTTTCAAAACCAACACCCTCCTGATCTGTAAGAAACTTTGTAATGAATGTTGCCTGCTCACTGGCCCCGTGTGGGCTTCAGAAAACCCTGGCCCCGGAGGACAGACGGCTCGAAATGGCAACTTCCCACCCCCAAAGCACTTAATTTTGTTTAAACCATGAAAATTCTGTTGAGGGGCTGGAGAGAGAGCACAGCGGGTAGGGCGTTTGCCTTGCACGTGGCCGACCCGGGTTCGATTCCCAGCATCCCATATGGTCCCCTGAGCACCGCTGGGAGTAACTCCTGAGTGCAGAGCCAGGAGTAACCCCTGTGTATCGCCAGGTGTGATCCAAAAAGAAAGAAAAAAAATTCTCTTGAAAACACGTGATCCCAGTCTTTTTTTATTGAATTGCTGTGAGATATACAGGTACAAAGTTGTTCGTGACTTGAGTTCAGTCATAGAATAACACTTCAAGTCTTTAGGGCGTTTGTGGTTGGAAAAAGGAAAGGTGCTTATGACTTGTGTTGTGTAAAATGGTCTGCCTTTAAAAGCTCACTCATGCCGTTTCCATTCTTTATGTGAAGTTTAACGACGTGGCTGTTTTCCACTTGGATGCATTTGTTTGGAGGGTTGTTTTTGGAATTCCTTGTGAAGCACGAGAAAGTAGGTAGCGGTTGGTGGATCCTTTGTTTTCTCTCTGTCGCCTGCCTGACGCTTTTCCGGGTGCCCTTCTACCAAAGTTGTGCTGCTAACACACGGTGGTGTCCGGGAGCTGCTTGCGTCCTGCTTGGTTGCGCAAGGATGGTCCCTGCGAGCCTCTTTGCTAGCAAGACTCCTCCACGCCTCCCTTCTCGCCATCCTGGTGTTGCCCACGCTGCACTGTGGGTCTGGATGTGAGGAGCTGGGGTGGGCGCGTGTGTCAGTGGGTAGGGAACTTATGCAGGGTGCCCGCACCCAGCCCTCAGCGCTTTTGCTGCCCTGCATAGAGGGGAATGGAGGGAAGGGCCCTCCCCTGCCCCTAAGCTGGACTCCTTAGCTCTTGTTTTCCCTCTAGGGTCCCCCCACCCACCCACCTGCATCCTGGGGTATCTCACAGCTCAGGACTGGGGCCGGGAGGGTGGCCCATCTCTCTGGATGTCATGATCTTGACTGACTCTTCTGGAATGCCAGCAAGACTTCTGGAGGTGGTGACGCCCCGTTGGGCATCGGAGGCTTCGAAGGAGCCGGTGGAGAATCGGGTCCTGCAGGTGCTGTTTGCCGCTTAAGCGGGGCACCAGGCTCATCCTGGTAGCAGGGGAGATTGGCCCCCGCTGGGGAGGTGGGTCTGAGGGACCCAGGTGGGCAAGAAGCAATGACCTGGGTGTGACACTTGAAAACAGGGCGTTGGTTTCCGTCGCCCCGTGGTGGGGCTGGTGAGGATTCCTGGTGAATGAACAGTGGCGGCCGCTCACCATCTCTGCATCCCTCTTGGAGTCCCTCCTGCCTAGCACGTGGCTTCTTAGGTAAGCCCACTGCGGCTTACGGGGAGACCATGTCTGTCCTGCACAGAGGCCTCTGAGGACGGTTTCAGGGAGCCCCCGTGTGGTTGGTGGGGTCCCAATTTGTCAGTCAGGTGAGCCCCGGGGTGCTGTGGAAGCTGTCACTCCGTCTTCCCTGTATGGGGGGGTGGTCAGAGAAGAAGTGCGCTGCTTGGTGAGGGGGGGGTGCAGAGTTTACCCCTGAGTCTCTGCTCGGGCCATTTCTGGCAGGGCTCAGTTGGGGGCAGGGGGTATGTGGTGCCGAGGATTGAACCCAGATGGGTTGTGTACAAGGCCAGCACCCTCCCCTCTGTGCTGTGGCTTCCGGCCCCTTAAACTTGATTTGATTAATTAATTTAGACTTCTGGGCCACACCTGGCCGTGCTCAGGGTGTACTTCTGGCTTTGTGTTCAAGGATCACTCCTGGTGGGGCTCAGGGGCCATAGGTGGCGCCGGGGATCGAACGAGGCTGTGAGCAAGGCAAGCGCCTTCCCTGCCCGTACTGTCGCTCCACGAGCCTTTTCTAATCAGCGGAAAAATCGGAGCAGTGGCGCTCTGTACTAAGAACAAACCCAGCCACTGTGGGGGGGCACGCGGTGCTTGCAGCCCGGTGATGGGACCCCAGCCCAGAGGGACGGTGTTGGAGCTCTGCCGCCCACTCCCAGGCTGGCCGCCTCTGAGCCCCTCTATCTGGGGCAGACCACAATGGTGCTGATGGGTCCTTTGCAGACCCTGGAAGGTGGCAGTTCCACCCCCGGTGGGAAAATGTGGGAATATTCACAGAGCCCCGGGGCACTCAGGGGCCGTGTCCTCACTGTGTGTCTCGAGGCAGGTGGGCAGGTGGGGACAGGTGAAGGCAGGAGGGGTTGGGGGAGGCGGGCAGAGAAGGTCCCCTGGTGCCTCAGCTCCTTGGCACACAGACTGCTTTTCCCCTGCCGTTTCTGAGCCAGGTGCTGAGAGCCTGGGCAGGATGTGACCTCTAGTGACCTCACCTCAGCCGCAGGGAACAGGAGCCGGCGGGGTGTTCTCAGCTGTTCCCTCCAGCAGCTGCACGCCAGGGAAGAGGCTGGGAAGGGCCCCGGGGCTGTGCCTCGGGTGACCCCAAGGGACCTGGGTCGTGTGCTTGTTATTCACAGTTGGGCAGACCCCCCCTTCCTTCCTCCAGACTTTTGATTTCCATGACTCCCAAAATCAGGGTGTATACTGATTTTTGAGAGGGTGAGGACTCTTTCCTTCCCATTGGCTGGAGAGTGTGTGATGGTATAAACCTAGTTCCACTGTCCTGTGAGCGGGGCCCCTTGTGGAGGGCACACGGGCACAGCTGTCCGCTACTGGCCCATCAGGGGCGTGTTTTATCTGGAACCTGGTCTGGCTGCCCCTGAGGCTAGCACAGCGAACTTAGCTCCGTCTGCACAAAGACCACAGGGGCTGACCCAAGACAGGTGAACCCTGTGCAAGGCCTGGCACTGGCCAAAGTGGGAGCAGGACTTGATGGTGCCCTGGGCGGGAAGGAGAGTCGGCGTGGGGGTGGCCAGCAAGGTGGGGAGAAAGACCCCGGAACTGCTGGGGAAACGAGTCTGCTGATGGGTTAGACCAGAGTCCGTGAGCCCCTCGTGCCTGGTACAGAGAGGTTTGTTCTGCGTCCCCTTCTGCTGGCCTCATCAGCAAGGGCCTGTGTCACCCAAGCTTGCCCGTGTTCCCGTAAAGCTCAGGCCGTGACAGCATCTGATGAAAAAGATGAGCAGTATAAATGAAGATGAAGTCACAACTCCGGCTGCCAAAGGAAATTTTCCTTTTCTGTGCTGTTCCTCTGTGACGCGCGTGAGTGACGCCTGACGCACAGCCTCAGAAATAGTAGCTGCCGGCGGGGTGGGAAGGCGGAAGGAGGCCCCGGTCCGGAAATGGGGCCCCCACCCCAGTGTCCTTGGGGCCCGAAGTGGCAGCTAGTTAGAGGACAGTGCTTTTCTGGACAGACTAGAAGTGACAGCCAACTAAGCCCCCCAGGCATGTTCCTCGATCCCGAATATTTTTCATATCAGCTTGATGTGGACTATCAAGCTGCTGATATTTTTAAAGTATTGTTGTGTGTTGGGGGCCCTGAGCCCCGACTCTTAGCTCTTCTGAAACCCCTCTTCCAAATTACTCCTCCCCTTTCACCGCCCTGGGCATCCCTCATTTGGTTTGTATTGGGGACCACGTCCCTGGTAGTGCCTGGGGGTCTCTTCCTGGGTATTCTGGGGACCGTGCAGTGGGGATAGAACTCAGGCTCCCACACTCGAAGCTTGTACTCAACCCTCTGCTCTCTCTCCCCCAGGCTGGCGTGATGGGTTCGAGGGGAGGGGCTTGTGTCCATGGTCAGTTGGTGCTCAGGGACTACTCGAAGGTTGGTGCTCTGGGGTTGTTCCCAGCGGTCCTCGGGGGACCATGTGGTGCTGGTAATCAAATCCGGGACTCTCTTATACTCAGCCTTTTGTGTTCCATCCCCAGCTTGACAGTATTCTTGTGTGTGTGTGTGTGTGTGTGTGTGTGTGTGTGTGTTTGGCCTCACCCAGCAATGCTCAGGGGTTACTCCTGGCTCTGCACTAGGGAATTGCTCCGGTTGTACCTGGGGGACCATATGGGATGACGTGGATCGACCCGGGATTGACTGTGTGCAAGACACCCTACCTGTTGTACAATCACTCCAGCCCCATTAAAATCACGATCACGATCATCCTGTTGTTCGTCGATCGCCTCGAGCAGGCAGCAGTAATGTCTCCTTCTTCCTAGCCCTGAGATTT